TTATTCTTAATACAGTTTGTAGTAAGTATTAAAATCTCTACTACTATGAATATGTGTGTATTTGGAATACATTTTACCATCCTATTATACTTGCAGTGAATACTATTAGTAATATTATTGATGTTTTATTGTCTTTTTAGAAACAACAATGGATTACAATCTCGACTCTCAGGCAGATATGGGTTTCAAAACGAGTGTCGCAAAGTAAAACATTTACATATTAACGAACTAAATTACAATTAATATGTTAGGTCATCTAGTTATGGACTAAAATATTATTTATTTGCAGAGGCTTTGAATTGATAGTGCATAGAGCAACTAAAATTTGTTTGTATCCTGAAATTATATATAATCTTTATATCAAATTGTTTGACTATGAAAAATATTATACAAATGTACAAAACTTACCAAAGCATGTATGTGTATGTGAGATATAAAAATAGATAAAATGCTTTTTAATTTTAATTTTAAATTTTCAGATAATCGAGAAAAAGAAAAACGAATTAATACAAAAATTTAAAAATAAAATCAAGACGGACACAGATGTATACGATGGCGAAAGTATGTTTTTGTTTTAATAAAATACTACGGGTTAGTTATTTATTAACCAAACTGTAGGTGGTTATCGTGTTAATTGTGTTAAGTCAAAAACATTGATAAATTTAAATTCTGTAATTGTACAAGTTATTATAACTAAAAGTGGTTTTTTTTTTTTAATTATTTAGAGAAATGTTTTCAAGGATTAGTAGAAACTTTAATGGACTCAAACGAAGCCGGATTGGGCTTGAGCGATGAGGATATTAAGAGTCATGTGATAACTATAGTAGCGGGTGTAAGATCAAAATACTCCAAATACTTTGATACCACAAGCAATGAATAATTATTATATTTATAGGGTTTCGAAACTACTTCATTGACTGTTAGTTATTGTCTTTTGTTATTAGCTATCTATCCGGATATTCAAGTAAGTCATTACGTAGTGTTTGTTTTTTAAAAGTTTGATATAAAAATACGTTTCAAAAATATTATTTAAGGACAGAGTTTACGACGAAATTTATACCATATTAGGTGACAGTGATGAACCAATTACTATCGAACAAACGACTAGTCTAGTTTATTTGAAACAAGTAATACACGAAACTCTCCGTTTATTTCCGATTGCACCAGTTATGTTGAGGCAACTGCAAGATGATGTCACAATTAGTAAGAATAAAATGTATATTAAAAAGTATAAAACAAAATAAAATAACAATTGCTTTTAGTTACAGGTAATCACACGTTGCCAAAAGGAACAATATGCTGTATAACTCCTTTGATTACACATCGGAATCCTGAGCTGTATCCGAATCCTAAATCATTTAATCCGGATAACTTCAATGCCGACAATGTCGCTAGTCGTCATAAATATAGTTTCATTGCTTTTAGTGGTGGTCCAAGAAGCTGTATAGGTATGACAAAATATTGGACTTATAATTTTTAAATTTATTAAACGTTTGTTTTCAATTTCAGGAATGAAATACAGTTTGGTTTTAATGACACTTTTAATTAGTTACGTTTTACGGAACTTCAGTGTGCACACGGATATGAAACTCAGTGACATTAAGTTAAAATTAGGTATGTCATTACACAATACCGTGGGTTTTCCAATAACCATTCAATCAAGAAAACAATAGTAATTTTGTACTTTAATGATGCCGAAATGCTTTCCCGTTAAATCAATTTAATATTTANTACTAACTATCCTATAATAAAAAACATGATGGTTATTACTTACCTCAGGTTCTCTACTAGAAGTTCGTCGACCAAATTAGAAGTTGCAAAGTAAAAGAAATCTCAATGAATGTTTACATTATAAACACTTATTTATTTATTTAAATTTACAATTGACATCATGGAGTAAAAATTTCGTATGATGGTTTTACCACTGTTATCATAGGTATTTGTTATTTTCAGTTGTTAGGTTTTTTTTCGGATTTACTATTTTTTTGAGAAAATTTTAGAGAAAATCGGAATTATTGTATTTTGATAACTGTATGATTATTTATTGCTTAAATCCTTCTTTCTTACATTTAGTTTTTTTGGAATTTTTATATTTATTGAGAATACTATAAGTATCTTAGCTCCAATCGGAATTGAAAATATTATTAATACAAAATTACAACCACATATTTTGGCACTTGCACTATCTGCCGTATATTCTGCGGTATCTTATATTCTTTACCTTCTGAAATTATAAACCATTAAAACATATTAACTAATGAGTATCAAAATGTATTAAAATATTTTATTAAATTACAAGTACAGAATTCCTAACTGATTATTATAACATAATACTTAACTTACGAGTACATTATAAACATGTTATAATCAAGACAGGATCGAACACAAAATCACTTGATCTAGATACAGTTCTTGAGTCCAACCATCCGCTAAATACAGATTTTATTAATTATCGTAAGCAAACTTATGTATATCACCTAATTTAAAATTGTAGAATTTTTTAAATATCAACAAATAACCAATACAATATAACGTAAATAAACTCACAATATTATACCTAATATGCTAATAAGCAAACATAATTTTGACTAAAAATTGCTTAATTGAGCCATCTCTGTCGACGTACACGATTCACAAAAATAAAAAAAAAAAGAGCATTTCTACAAATTTGTTATCTATTCTAATTTTTGAAAAATTGACAACTTAATTAAACAATGGATCTTAATTTTTGTCATTTTAGACATTTTCATTTATTTGTGTAATACGTTAATCTGTAGTTTTTTTTTTTTTGCTATTACGTACTCCAATCTTGAGCATTCCATACACGAATTCGATGAATTATATTAATTATGATGAAATATCCATACGTATAATGAATGACGCGAAATGTGATTTTTAACTATACCTCTCATTTATCATTTATTCAAAAATCAGAATCAAAACTATAATTATTTCACGATTTTATAAACTATCTTAATTTTCGAACGAATATTTTCTGTCATATTAAAATGTAAGCCGGTTAAGATAACGGGAGATAAAGGAGTGCACGGCATCGTGAACAAATATAACTTCTTTTCCTACTAAATTAAAATCTTTTAAAAATATTATTATTACATTTATTTATACTAGACAATTATAATTTACATAGAAAAGCAAATGGAAATATGTATATTTCGAGATCATAGTCTTTGTATTTTTTAGTTCATTTTTAAGACTATTTTGTTATGATGTATATTTTTTATTAATTTTTTTTTGTTCTAGACTGTATACATATTTTATCCTAATAAATTTGCTCCGATTACTACGTGTTATAATATTTTTGTTTTTGTCTTTAATTCAAAATAAAAATATAATATACATGTTTACCTTGGGTGGTCCAAATGAAGTCCGTTGTTAAAAAATCATATTTTGTACTTATACATAAATCTAATTAAATTTTAATTAGACACAGTTTCTGATTTT